ATTACTAAACTATTTATTTTTCGTTAAGTTATAGGTTGCGAATTCAGATATTGCGTGCTATGCATAGCAAAAGATTTTATTTTTACTTATTTTGTATGTCAACAAGAAGACAAAAAGAGTATTATATAGCCAACAATACTTTTAGAGATCATTTGATATTATTCAAAAATAAAATCAACTGGATAATAAGGTACATTTAATATCTTTTTAGGAACTTATTTTAGAATACTTTCGTAGACTTATCATAGAGGCGATTGAAACTTTAATCTATTATTCTGTATAAGCATTTACACAGCTGGATGTCAAATAATGATGAGATGTATTTACATCTGAAAATATTCTAATATTATATATACTTTTGTTGAATTTAAATGGTTATTTAGAACTAGTATTAGGTTATACAAATATGTAAGAATATTTAACGATTTTAAAGAAGGGATTCATACAATATACCCTATGTCAGATTTATTTATTAAGAGGAAGTGTAATATAACATAAATGTATTCTACATCAAACGATCGTCTTATGAAATCAGCAAACATGTAACACCAACTTCTCATGTTAATTAGCTACCAGGAAAAGCTCGACGACAACTTATTTAAATATGTCAGCATATTGCCGGCACGGAATCAATAAAAAAACCGATAAAATAAATCACAGACTTAATCTAACGGAATAACAGAGTGAAATAGGTTGGAATTCCGTAACTCTAGTTTTTAAGAGATCTAAGTGCCGACAACAATTGAGAATATGTAAATAGATACATAAAAACGTAACTGCATTAAGTCACGAAGTCATACTACATGTGTTATTTCAAATATCTAAAAAGTTATTACATTTAAACGCGAAGGGATATAAAAAACAATAGTGTTAATCTTTTGCGATAATATTTTCAAGTAAAGTGAATCTTCTTTTTTGATTTCTATGTTAATTAGAGTATATTTATATTTTTAATAACATCGATTCTTTGAAATTTACTAATATTTTTAAAGGGCTAAGGAATTTTTCATAAAATACAATAACTAGAGTTTAGTTATTGTAAATTATAAAACATTTAAATTAAAATTTAATTACTATAAAGTCATACTATAGCATATTTTTGTATAATTTATAATTTATAAGTATTTAATAATATAGTTTTTATAGTCACTATTTATTTTTTATTTTTTGGACGAAAAAATGTGTTACCAAAAATTAATTTATTTTCGATATTGGGCTGTAATAACCGATAAAGCTTAAATTTTATAAAAGATTTTAAAAATATGTAAAAATTTGTTCAATGAATTAATTATTAATCATTTTAAAATTATATTGAGAAAAAACTAAAAAAATTATTATGAAAAATTTTCATTGGCTCACTTAATTACAACGTAAGAAATCAAAAGTAATTTAAAATATTTATTTTTTATGAAATTATATGATTTTCGTTTCACAAATATGTGCTTATTTGAACTATTTTAGGACTCCACATTTTTAATTTTCACCCGGGTCGTCAGCAATTCTGAATTAAAAAAATAATAAAATATATTAATAGAGTCCTGAATTAAATGCACTTATAAATGTTCTATGCACCATTTTAAAAGGAACCAAGTTTCTGAAAATTTATTTTTTGGAATAAACAGCAGCGTAGAAATAGTATTTGTTTTAGAAAGTAATACACCCCCTAATTTTCCCCAACATTATAACCCCATTAGATTATATTTCTAAGTTTTCAAGTCGATTATAACAATTTGTACAGGCTGATGACGTGTTTGGAATAACTTAAGAACATTTATAAATACATATGAATTCACTCTGTATTTATTAGGCATAACTCAGTGATTAGAAGATTAAATTAGATTTAATAAAAATGATCAATATTTTTATAAATAATTTTGATGGACATACATACATTTAATAAAGTGCAATTTATGAACACCGTTCGCCTTTGATATTAACTATACGTATTTATATAGGATATTTCACGTGATTCAAGAAAATCTTTTGATCAGGTCTTATAAAAAATTATTCATATTGGTGCAAATTTCGCAGTAGTATAACTTTATTTTAAAACTCTTTTTTTAACTTAGATGCGAAGCTGAGAATGTATTAATTTTATTATGATGTGTTTATTATTATTATTATTTTTTGTGTTTGTTACCACTTATTCTTAGCTCTCACTGGACTGATTTTGATGAACAATACGTTAAAAGATCACAAATCGTATTTAATTGAAGATATTAACATCAAAAATTGAAAAAAATTGTCCCATTCGCCGTAAATTGGGAAAATCCCCCCAAAAATTACATCTTTTAAAAACAGTAATTTTCGAAATTTTTTTTACTTTAAACTGCCATAACTTTTTGAATAATGGATGAATCTAAATAATTTTTATAAATACATTAAGTATTTACTCATCATTTGGTATATTTTTTTAAAAATCTGACCCTTCACTTGCTCGCAGAGGGGATTATTTATTATTTAAGTTATCAAAATGATAACTTTTCTACAAAAAATTAACTTTCTCAACATAATTTTTCAATGTTTCGAAAATACTGACACTTTTATATACATATCTTAAATTAGAGCTAATGTAATATACTTCAATATGGATAAAAATTTCGAACTTCAGGTTTTTTTCATAGTGAAAATGGCTACCGTAATAAAAAATATGCTATTTTTATGTTAAAATTCTCGATTTTGAATTTTATTTAATTTTAAAATACCTTCAAGGTAAGTACACTGATTTTCAAAAATATTATATAAATTTAATTGACATAGCATAGAAAGTTAAAATTATTTAAATTTTTTTTCTTTTTTAAGTCAAGAAAAATAAATTTGAAATTTTAACTAGATTAAATTGAAATTTTTATATAAAGTTGAAAGCGACGTAAGATTACTGAGTCAATAACATATATGCCTTTTAAGCTTGTGATACGAAGTTCGGATCCCAATCAAAATTACATTTTTTTAAAATTCTTTAAGAGTAATGTTGAATTTATTTGATTTTTATCTCATTTAGATTCAATAACATTAATTGGTTTTTTTATGTGACTCTCATTTATTTTACCACCTCTCACTTGTCCATTTTTTTATATTTAGGTCAAATTATCACAACTAGTAACTAATTAAAAATATTATCCTTAATAATTGAAAAAAAATCCCCTTTATAAAATTTACTTAACCAGCTTTCTCCATACAGGCAATTAAAATCCACTTTAAAGGACCCAAAAAAAAAAAAATGGTTAAAAAATGACATTTTGCACTGATTATTTTTAACATATTAAAAATCAAAATCAGTAATAATTTAAAACAATTTTTTTTTTTTATTTATTTTTTTTTATGTAAATGCACATTTTTTAATAATAAGTAGTAATATCAAAACTTATAAGTGATAGAAAAAGTTTGAATTCAGAATATTTGAAAACAGTGAGAAAAGTTGATTTAGAAAAGTAAATTTGTAATTCCGATGAAAGTTCCTTGTGTACCAATGTATTTGTTTATAAGTAAAAAAAAATGTTTTTATAAATTTTAGCATCAAGCCCTTTAGTTTTTATACATTTTTGTCATAGAAGTAACAAAAGAAACTACTTTATAATTTTTTATTATTTCTCCGTAAAAATTACAATATTAAATTATTAAAAATTAAATTCATACTATATTCAATTGCTATAATAAATATTTATTCATAAATTATACTTTTAACTACTAATCAGGATATAATTAAGGAAATTGGAGTTGTTGATGTTGCTTTTGTAAACACTATTTATAGATTTGCACCGAAGCGTTTCTTATGATAGTGATTAAAATCACTATTGTCTTTACTTGTTCCAACTATGCCACGTCCACACTGTGCTATCATTTTTTTTAAAAATAATCTGCGCTTTGAAAGAGTTTTGATAACTATGTCTCCTTTAACCGTTATATTTCTAGTTACTTGAATGATGTATTATTATTTTTGATTAAAAAAATAAAATCTAGTTATTTACTAGTAAAATTGGAAAATAATATTTCCAAATTCTTATGCACGCGCATATGCTGATTCTTAAACATTATAATTTTACTTTAAAAACTTATATTTATCAATAAATAGGCAAGAGTTTTTATTCATTTTTTATTATTTATAACTGAAAATAAATACTTTCCCAAATATATACCTCTAAACACGATATTTATGATTTTTAAAAACTAGAGAATGAATACTACTAGAAAACGAATACTGCCGAAGTTTTAACTAAAACATTGTCTAATCTAATTTTAATACGTGGTTACTAGTACTTTTTATAATAAAGAAAAAATCTAAATAAAGTCCTACTACAATATAATATTTTTTGATAACATATCCATAACTGTTAATTTGCTAGAAAATTCTAATTTTTAACATTTATTAAAGAATTAAAATTTTTATCTTAGTAACTTACAAATATTTTTACATAATAATTATAGAAAATTTTTCAGATAAAAAATATTATTTTATATTGTTAAAATATTATTTATCATTATTATAAGTGTGATATTTTAACATATATGAATAAAGAAATATAACTATACAGTAAAGTCACTAAATAGTTTATTTTCAGATATCCTTTACATTATGATTAGAAAAAATATATCAAGTCCACTTTTTACAAAAAGTTACAATAAATCAACTATAATTTTTTCACGTTCTTCAACAGTTATTTATTATAAAAATTAAAATATACATAAAAATTTTAAAATAAAAATACGATTTTTATATATGTATATAAATTCTAGAAAATATTATTATTATTTGATGAAAGATTGGATAAAATATACTTAAATTATTTTATAATTAAATTATGAAATATTTTCAGATCAAATCATTTTCATAAGAGTAGACCAATCCTTATACAAAAATATTAATAACTTAACTAATGTATTCTTTGTATTTTCACACTTGTATTATTTTAAATTATATTTGTTTTAAGTATTTATTCAAATGCAGTGTCCTTTTTTTTTATTACGAAACAGACCTCACGGCTCATTTATTGTTTTTATTGACTCAAACGTTTATAATAGGAAAAAAGAAGTTCTAAATGTTAATAATAATAATTGACGTTGACTACTAAGCACAACTGATTTTTTGTAATGGAGTATTCTATAAAAAATATTGTAATTTTTTGTTTGATATATTTCATTCAGCCATTAAATTCCCATGAGGTAATTATACTTATAAATATTATTGATAAGTAATTATATTTTATTATTAGTATATCCGTAGTTATTCATAAAGTATGATTTTTAATAGTTCTATTTTCTATGAAAAACTGTTTTAATAAAATTTAAATAAAATGTCTGAGACCTCTTTTATTAAATATACTTTTACATTAAATAAAAAAGCATACATGATTAACTTCTTTGTGCACGAATAATTAAAACGTATGAGTATTTTTCCTTTTTTTCTTGTTTGATTCTTGTTTGTTTTTAAATGTAGTGTCATTTAAAAACAGAAAATATGAACAATTTATCAGTATTATATTTAGATTTATATATTGCCATCTTTATAAACTTTACTTGTACATTTGTGAAAGATTTAAAGTGGTTTAATGTGTTTACCACTATATCAGATTCATTTAGTATCATACTTTTATTTTGAGTTCCATATACAGAAAAATTCAGGAGCAGGGAAAACACCTGCTGAAATTTTATATTTTTAAGTACTATTATATTACTATAATATATAGTTTAATTTATAATGTATGACACGTTTACATTAAATTTTTAATTATAAATAAATTTTATTGTGATTTAATTTAATTTATATGAACTGTGTTTGTTAATAATATAGTATTTTATCATCAAGAGTTATTTTGATATGATATAAAAATGTTTGTCAAATAAAATATTAATCTTTTTTTTTTAATATTGTAGTTTAGTTAATTATTTTAAACATTATTTTGATTTGTTAGGTAAAAAAAAAATGAACTGTTCTTAAGTAAATATCTTATTTTTTAAATGAGTGCGAATCACACAATTTATTTTTATTTTTTCTTGTGTGTTTTTATAAAAATGTATGGGTAAACTCTATCATTTTTAAATGTTAATGTCAATTTTAAAATTAATATATCAAAATGTCTACCAACCAGTTAACAAGTTTTTTAGTTTATAACTCATAAAAAAAAATATAAAAATGCTAAAAGAATTACAATTTACAAGTGTGTATCATATTAAGTTAGATTAGATTACAATAATGAAACGAATCTATGAGGCCGAATCAAACTAAAAATTATTTTGATTAACTTCAACTCTTTATAAAAATTTTGCATTTTGACTATTGAAGTCTCTGTAAATGATATATTTAAGCGTTATTTTTTATATTCGTACGAGCGTTATTAAAATTTTGTGTTTATTATTATTTTAATATTTTTGTATATGTGTTACAATTATATATTTAAGATATAACTGTCTGTAACCGTTAAAAGACTCATGACTTCTAAATTTTTTTAAGTCTAATATTGGTGTGTGCGACAGAGTTAAGATTGGAGTTCTGGTCTTTAAGTTAGTCCTAATAACTACTAGCTGGCTAGTCATTGTGCTGAATCGTCCTTTTAAAGGTAAAGAAAAAAATTATTGTGCTAGTGACTGAAGAACAGTCACTCTATAGTATTCTACTTTTGATTTGGACCACACTGGCGGGTCCGGAGGCTACACTTTAGCAACTCCCTAGTTTGGGGGTTATGTTGACTTGCAGTATTTTGATGGGAAAACTCGGAAAGAGCCAACAAACGCGCTTTGACGTTATTTAAGTATTCATTCAATTCTTATATGTGGATTCGTGCCGTAAGCCGGCCAACTTAGTCGGGTTAAAGTGGCGGATGACACTATTAAAAATATAACAACAAAATTGTATATTATCAATTAATCAAATCAGAGAATATAATGTAATCAAATTTTGTTTATATGTTATGTAATCGATAAATTATATTCATTTCTTCATGTGGAATTGCATACTTTTATTGTTTTTACTTCATACCTAATTGTAAAAATTATAAAACAAATACATTTAATAATATTATATTTATAATTTATGGTTTTTTTTTTTGTTTTTTTATTACAATTTCTAAATATAATTATTTTCAGGGAGTAAAATATCCCCTATTCGTTTCCTCTTTCGATGGAAACAATTTTGTATGTAACATGCAAAAATTGCCACAACAAACATATTACAATCCTGTTGACAAAAAATGGAGAAGAGAAAAATGTGAAAGCCTTGGATTTACTTATCAAGAACAATCTAATAAACCATTTACACCAAATATGATACCGCTTGAATTGTTAAATAAAAGGCATTCACTATATAAGACATTATCTCTATATATATGTGGAAATCAAAATATACACTTAGAAATTGAAAAAAAAATCATAAATGTAAGTTTAAAAAAAATGTATAAAAGTAGATATAATATGTAGTTTTGGATCTTTATAACGTTATTAATGTCATAAAAAAAATGTAGACTCTAAGAACCAATAGCATTATTGAAGAATTTTTTGGTACCAGAGAATTACTTGATGAATATATCGAGAACAATGTAAAAGTTTCTAATACAGGTATGATTAGACTTCATTCTTATTACACAGGTTGTTTTAAATCTATCTGACTATGCTTATAACTTTTAAATTTATTACTAAATGAAAATTCGAAATTGCTTTATTTTGACACTTTTCTTAGAAAAAATTTTAATAGATCGATGATGATTTTGGGAAAAGTACTTATCAAGTTACATATATTTTAATACATAGAGTGGGAATGGTACGTGTACACGTATACTAATACGTGCTGTACAAATTTCGACTAAAAAAGAGATAAAAGGCTCACAAATGTCTGTTTAAAATTTAAAAAAACAGTATAGTGGGAACGTAGTATAACTGGAATAACTATAGATGAAATTTGACAGTGATTGAAATGCAAAACTGTAGAGAGTGTTAACGTTTTAGAAAGAATTATTGGATTTTTCCAAAACCAACATGAACTACTGTTTCTTTATTTATATAAAGTTATAAATTACAAAACTTTTAATTTATAGAAATAATAAATTAATAAACACTGATTATAGTAATTAAATTTAGTATCTAATTGATATTTAATAATTTAGTATAGTAATTTTTACAGAGAAATTATAAAAAGTTATAAAGTTTTCATATGTAAAATGATTCATTTAATATTAACCAATCTAATATTAAGCTAAAAACTACTATTTTTAAAATTGTTATTGGTGTTTTTTAATTTTAAATATTTCTCGATTGAATAATAAATTATTATTTTTTAATTCATTCCTTATACTTTATAAGAGTGTCAACATTCATTTTTTAAATGGCGTCATACATATTTATCTAGTTAATAAATTAAAAATGATTTATTTTTTATTTTATGTGCTAATTAAATCTGTATGTTTCAATTAAATAATGAATGTTGACACTCTTATTAGGTAGAAGGCAATAATAATTAAAAAATATATTTCAACGAAATGAAAATTTAATCAAAAGTTATAAGTGTGGTCAGTTAGATCTGAGACACTCAGAATATTTTATACAGGCAAAAGGGGTAGCCACCCCTCTCTATTGTGGTTTAATTTAAGGTAGACTGAGGAGCTAATAACAGGGGCGGCCAATTAACTTTTGCATATTTTAATCCTTTTATATTAATAAACAGCAAAAATAAATTTTCATAATGTTAAATTTCAGGTATTCATTTTTGTAAAGTATTAGAAAAATATATCGTCTAAACGTTATATTTAAATTATAAAAAACATACATTTAAACTCTATACGTTGGTATTTTCGTAACAACCAATTCAGAGGTATTCTAAATGTCATTTATTTTACAGGTGAAGTGGAGAGTATTGGTTCGTACGCAGAGACATTTGCTGCTTCCTTATATCTAGATACGTGTATTTATGTATTTGAAGAAATAAAAAATGATTGGGTTTTATACTACGGCAAAAACTGGCCCAAATACGATACGCTTAATATGGAAGATGAAAAATGCATTTATTTGTTCGTAACTGGACGTTTTATGGGTGTAGTTTCTAAGGTTACTAGCCCTTAAGTTATACTTCATTTATAAAATGATATTATAATTGATGTTTTAATAAATAATCTAAAGGGAACATTTTAAACAATTTTAAAACAGTAAAAACATTTTTTCAATATTTAATAAAACCATATTTTGTTAAATGACTAATTAATTTTGATGAGATCTGGATTTTTAGAAAATATTATTTATTTATGTTTTTTAAACGAGTAGTTATGAATTATACATTATTTATTTTTGAACCACTCTAATATTTATTTCGATATTCATTTTATAAGATTAAGAATGCCTCAAAAAGTGGGAATACATTTATTTATGATTGAAAAAATATATAAATAGACGATCCTAGGAACTTTACAAGTTGATTTATATTAAAATGTATGAGTTCACAACTTTTATAACAATTTGATGGAGACTAATATAAATATCTCAGGAGCCATTTATATTCGTATATTAATAACTCGATAAATAATGACCATAATGAAAGGCATAGGTAAATAAGATATTTGAGCAGTGAAATCTTCTCCTCTTGTAAAAATGTAGTAGTATAAATTATTATATTAAAATAATTTAAGAACTTTTATTTTAAATATAATTAATTATATTTGAAATAAAAGTACTCAACGTTATCAAAACGTCATATCCTAGTGACTTTACTTTTACTCAGTTTATAACTAACAGATAATTGATAATCAAGTTTTATTACCTTCAGTACAATATTGTGTATATATAGTCAAAATATCAAATATTTCTAACGAGAGGTTACTAAAAAAATACACATTGAACTAAAAATCTCTCTCCTGAAAGTATAAAGATTTGCGTTACAACCTTTATATTATAACGCAACGCATATTATTAAAAAATACCAGTCCATAAAATAGTATTAAATGTTAACGATAATAAAAACAACAAATAGAAATATTTGAAATAACAATGAATCGCAAAATATATATGTATTAATAATTTATAATCAAATAAATTTATAATACAAAAAAACTATAATTTACCTATTAATTCAATATTGTTTTTAACCCTAATCGATTTTAAAAAGATTCTTTTAGCTCTTTGATATTAATAGTTTAACTACGTAGAGATAAAAAAATGATTAAACAAAAAGCAATGCTCGTTCCAAGCTTGGTCATGACATCAATCCACGCACAACAACAGATTTACTTGCTGTATCAATTGAAACTCTCACTGCACGGTACGCTCATTATAATAGTTTCGGTAGCGACCGAAGAAAGTGTTAAAACTCGGTTATTATACCATCGCCGTGTTTGAGTTGTGACTATCATTGCCATAATAGCAGTACATAGATATAAATCGTGCATTGTAACCACTGCACGGTGTATAGTTTATTAATTCCTCCCACTCGCAAAAATCACGATGTTACACAAAAAAGCAATAACAAAATGTGTTATTTTTTGTCGTCGTCGTCGTCATTCATCGTGTGAAATTGTACTACCGCAGTTTGTTTTTTTCTTTCTTCTAAGTTTTCTTTGCAGAGTGCCGGTCTAATTGGCCGCTGTCAATTGTGTCGCGTTCGCGGTTAGAAGTATAAGAAGTACGAATGGATAAACTGTTAATAAAACTGCAAAAGGCAATAATTTTGCCGTGACAGGATATTACACCTCGCAGAGCAACTTCACACCAGGTACTTAGTCCCTTAATAAATAAGAATTACAAATTATTATAAAAATAATTCAAGTGCTTATAAGTCGGTTTAATATCACTTTCATATTATTAGCAGCAGAAAATCGATAAAATGCGATTATTTTATAGTTAATAATGTATTTTAATATGAATGTAAAATTCCAATAAATCACTAGACTTATGCATACTGGTTTCAAAGAAATTCAATCGAAAAAAAAAGTGGATACAGAAAGACTAGGGTTATGAATCACATGTGTATCATTGTTGAGATTTATTAAAATATATCCGAAATAGTATGAGGTCATCGACATATCAGACTAGATTGATAATTATTATCTTTAAATGAAAAATGTCATTTGTATTTTTCCAAACGGAATTCAATCTTGTAAATTATTTAACAAGAATTTTAATATTAAAATTTCTCAGTTTAAAAACTAAACGTCGAATTGAAAAGTTAATTGTTAGATGTCGAAGCATTAACTTGATGATTGAATATTTTTCGCGTAAACCATGTAAATGATGTTATTATAAACTATTACCAAAATAACTGTACAAAATATGTATTTAATTTATGAAATAAATTGTTTTAAATCTGTTTAATAATTCAAGTGTAAAACCACATTTTATTTTATAAGTAGCTGACAAGTAAACATTTATAAACTCTAAATTCGAAATTACTTTTATTGCTGTATACAAAAATGTCATTTTACATTAATGTGGTATATAGAATTAAGTTTTGTATGTGTAAAAAATTAAAAACTAATTTAATTACTTATCAGCATTTATAAATAATGTAATCCAACAAAAATATTTTTATTAAAAATACATAAAAATTTATTATAAATATTTAAAAAAATATATTTTATTAAGTTGTATCTTATCAAATGATTTTTTTAGACCAAATTATAAAATAAAAATAAAAAATTTACTAAGTGATAAAATGTCAATGAACTATAAAAAGTGGTGTTTTCGTAAAAAACCCTTTTTATATTTTAGGGTATATGCTGATTTATAAGAGTACACCCTTTTATATAAATAGTTAAAAAATATTATTTTTTTAGGATATACGTTGATTAAAAATATTGTTAATGGGTATACGCTGTATATTCGCGTATAAGCCCCAAAGTACACTATCTATATATTATGCTCAACATTTAAATTTCTCTAAAAATATTTTAAAAATAAATTACAACGTAGAACTTACCGTATTAGTTAAATTATTTATTATAAAAATGATATTTTTATTTGATAATTAAACGTGTTCTAATTATTTTATTTTATTTTAATTGAAAAAAGTATAGTTTACATGAAAAAGTTCAAGCAGTTATTAATTGTTTAATGTTTTTAGAATCGGAAACAAAATATTTTTTGAACTCTTCACAAAACTATAATATACATAGCTCATATGGACTCTTCTGTAAATTTTGCAACCTTCCGTATAGGACTAGAATAATATTTACTGTATAAACATCAGAATGGTTTTTGTAAACAATGCATTAATAGAAAAATAAATTGTGTATAAAGTGAAGGTCAACAGATTATCAAAACAAAGTTGATAGTCTGTTAGAAAAATTTAAATAGTTTACAAATTATTTACATTGAGGTACACATTGTTTTACAAGAGTAGCAAAAAATAATAATTTTTAATAGACCCGAAATTCATTCAACTTCGAAAATATAAACTCAGATATTAAAAAATGTATAGTGTAAATATTTTTAAATATAATTTACGTTAATTTAACAAGATAAATTTTAATTATTTAAAAGCCATAGATAGTAGTAATCATCTAAATAACTAGTTCGATAAACCCTATGGAAACCACATATTTTATTGGTTCAAATTATATATATAACGAAATAAAACAAATTGTATAGTTTCTTTATTATGCGCAATTAAATAATTCTAAAAGTTAATTATCATTAGGTAAAATAAATTATAAATTGAGTAATAATATTATACAATTCTTAAAAGAGAGTTTACTAATTATGAATTCAACTAAATTTAAAATAATTTATGAACTCATTTTATCTAGAAGAAAAAACTAAAAAAATATAAATTAATTTTTCTTTAGTCAAATTATTTTAGAGACATGATTTCGAAATTATTCATTTATTAAGAAACTAAACGTGTTCACCGATTCGTGAATACTATTTTCGCAAAAATAAAAAATACCTCAATTCACTACACTTCTATTTGATATTAGGTTTGTTAATTCAATGTCTTCAACGATCAGATTTTAAAGGGAAAGCGTTAAAAATTGTTCCTAACTATTTTCAAACCGTAAAAATCAAATGTATACTATTGTATAAAATGCATTTCCGTAATGTTACAATACTCCCTGGCACTTACAGTCCTTTGAATATTTTGTTATAAATTCTAGTTTTCTTAAGGTAGGATGAGTGTATCCAAGAAATGTCTAGTGATAAAAATAAGAATACCTACCTCTCATCTTCAGCCATTACTTTAAATTGTTAATAACCGAAAAACTGGTTCAAAAGTCGTTATCGACCAGTCATTTTCTTAATTAAGTCGTTATAAGATAAATAATCTAGTTAATTATGTATATTCTCATAAAAAAAATAAAGTAGACAATGCACAAGGGATGAACATAAAAAATACTTTATGATTGATAAATATAGAAAAATATGTGCCTTAAAGAACCAAAACAAATTTCACAATATTTCTATTTTGTGATCAATTAAGTGGTTTACGATAACAGAATTACCCTGTCTAATAAATTTGCATAATGCTTTGACCTATCATTGAATAATAAAAACTACTATGGGTGGAATTAGCATTAACAATAAACAATATAATTGAAGTCTTCTGTTGGTTCATGATAAGGATATCAAAGAATTGTTATTCACAATTGGTATATCTTTCGAATGTTGTTTTTTATAACAATTTGAATACGGTTCGTGTACTTTTAATTCTGATGTCGGTAAATTAGCATGTCATCAACAAAATGGGTAAAAAGTTACATATAAATACGTGTTATTATTATGTATCTACACAGTGTAAATTAAAAGAATACGATATGAACGCGTTGAATAATAATTAGATATGATGACTTTAATTAACAAATTATCTTTATTAAACTAATCAATGAATAAAAAGTCAATTTTTATATAGTATCAATTTACGATAAATGTGTAGAGTATAATTTATTGTAACCCTTACATATCGCCAAATGATCTAACTTGGGGCAGTAAATATTTATGAACAAGTATTTTGTGTTTTTTAACAATACTTCTAAATATTTTGAAAGTTTTAAGATTGAAATTATTCTTTTTCATCAATACCATAACGTTTTATAATTTCAGATATCTTATTTCTATGCCTGAAACGAGCGATCTTCATTCGGAAGACGAAAATATGTTGGACGGTTTACAATTACGTGGACGATCATTTGATTTATCGACTGATCACTCAAGATCGTCTAGTACCGAAAACAGTTCTATTTATTTACCAAATAACAGCAAAGCATCAGAAGATGATGATGATAATTTAAAAAGTAATATTAAGTAAAATTAATAATAATGTTCATGTAATAAGATTTCCCGTTTAATTCTCATCAAACAATTTTGTTGCTTATCAGGTGATTCAGAAAGTTCAGACGAAAAACTATCACAAAGAATCACATCGGGCAAACGTAAACGTCAAATTAGTCAAAATTCGAATAGTGAGTCTTTATCATCCCCTAACCCTAGAAGATGTAGAAAAAGTATTCGACAACGGCGATCAATGGAATCGCTGACCGCTAAAGATCGAAATTTAAGAAGGTTGGAGAGTAACGAGCGCGAAAGACTGCGCATGCACTCATTAAATGACGCATTTGAGGTAACTGCTTAAAAAAACAAATAAAAAACTATTTGAGGGAATTAATTTATGATATCAATTTTTATCTAATTTAAATAAAAAGTATCTTTATAAGTAATTTGTTCAATTTATATTTTAACGACCGAAGAGTAATTTTATTAAAAACAGATGATAATGATTTTTTTAAAGATCATTTATTGTAAGATCTTACTATAGTAATTAAATATCTACGTAAATTATATAAAAATAATACCCGTTATTTTCCGTTCAAGAACCTTGATTTTAGATAATTACTTGTTTTTTTTTTGTTTTATAAACAATGTTAATGTATTTGTATAAATTTAACTTAAAAATTAAGAAAAATTATCTTTCTTATTAATTCTTTAGAAATTACGAGAAGTAGTTCCTCACGTAAAAATGGGGCGTAAGTTATCAAAATTGGAGACATTAACATTAGCTAAAAACTATATAATGGCATTGACAAATGTGATATGTGATATGAGAGGAGAACAAAAACCATTTACGTAAGAACTTTGTTTAGAGTTAATAAAATAATGGAATAAAGTTAAATTCTTTATTTAGCTTTGATGACCCCGATCAGCCAGAAGATGAATACGATTCAAGTAACGATGGTGGATTCGAGTCTGGTAACAGCAGTAAAATAAGATTAAATTTGGAACAAGAGTTACTGTCTTCGGATTAGCACTATACTACAATTAATTAATATTGTTTTGAACTTTCCTATTCTTTATTTTTTTGAAGGATATACCCTGAAAAGGGTAAACCCCTAAAATAAAAATAAGTGTTTTTTTGCAAAAACACTACTGTTCTTTATGTACATAAACCACACTTATTATAATTAGTTAACAATAGTTTTAAGATAATTGAATCGTTATTTTTAAAGTAAAATAAAAAATATTACTAGCTCAGCAGTTAGTATTATTATTGAATTCTTTATTATGAATATACCAATATTGAAGTTCTGTTAATAATTAAATAATTACTCATTAAGACTCTTTATATATATGTAAATTATACGCAACAATTTATAATGTCTTTAACGCTGTAAGATCATGAACATTTATTAACACTGAAGATAATTAACAACATTACTTTATATTTTACATTATTAGAGTTATTAAGAGATATTAAGGAGTGTATTGGCATTTAAGCACACATACATGATATAATATTGCATAGATAATATTTTTAAGAATCCAAGATTTTTTTTCTGTGAAACTTTACTTTTTGATAGTAATAATTTTTAACAATCTATAGCTCTTTAATAGCCTGTGAAGGCCATTCCTTTTATGAGGGATGATATTTAACCAGGATGGATTATTTTTTCTTAACTAAAAAATGAATTTAAATAATTAACTTAAGTATATATTATTATCAAAATATTTTTAAAATGTTCTCAAAATAATTATTCTAAAATTATTTTGCCATTCCTATAGTAGCAACACGTATACTATTTTCACTGAAGACTCATTCAACTTTTCTCATCTCATTATTATAATAAATAAAGTCACAATGAAGATGAGTTAAATCATTCATTAAAAAACTCATTACAGCATCATTTAACTGACTACAGATAATAATTATAGATATATTTCATTGTATTCGAATTAAAAATGCTACAATTTTTTTTTTCAGTAAAACTATAAACATGTATTATAAACAATAAAGTCTTATAGTGTAAAAACCTTGGATCAAACTTATACTATAAAAACCTATTGTTTTAGGTTTAATTATTGTACCACGTTATATCCATAAAATGTCTATTAGAAACCCACTAATTTTATGCAAATAACCTAAAAGCTATGTTTATTTATTGTACTATCTTTTAACTTCTCTTAATGTATTTGTACACACGCCCACACACAAAAGCGATGTAACATATTTTTCTGACTGTAATACATATTTTCTAATTCATTTATAAAAATTTGTTATCACTTTAAAAATAAAATTGGACATCATATCGAATTAAATAGAACTTTGACGGATACAGGAAAATACAAAAAAAAATTAAAAAAAAATTGTTTATTGTTTATGTAAATATATATTATTTATTAAATATTGACTTTTTTCTTTAATCAAAAGTTAAATTCCATTAAAACATATATTAAGATGTTTAGAATCATGTATGAATCTAATTTAGACTATTATAAAATATATAATATTAAAGGTATTGGAATTCATTTGTATTGTGTCAATTACTGTGTTAATTTTTCATAAGATATTAAAATGAGAATTTCTAGGGTACCTACATTTTGGGAAGTATTTAAACAGTTACATAAAAGTAACTTTATTATATAACACAAATTAAATTGTGCATTGCGAAATGCATAATATAGGTTGGGTTGGGTTTATAAAATAAGAACTTTGTCAATTTATACTTATATACAGAATGCTGCGCCATGTTTTTAAATATAAAATAACTTTGGATCCAGTAAAAATGTTGTATTCCCTTTTTTTAAAATTATTTTTACAGTTTTAGTTTACGTCAAAGAAATTATTTTATTATTTATCTCTAATGAGAATTTTTTTAAATGCAACATTTAACTATGTTATAAAATAGGAAATAATCTAATTCAGAAAATAACTGGTCGATAATAACTTTTGGACCAGTAGTTTAGATGTTATTATCAATTTAAAGTAATGACTGAAGGTGAGGAGTGGAAGCTGCTATTTTTACTACTAGTCATTTCCTGGTTTTATTCTTCGTCTCGCCTAAGTATAAAAGTGAGAATAATAATCAAAGTACTGGTTTAAAGTTATTACTGTTATTTCTGAATTAGATTATTTTCTATTTATATGCAAATTAAATATGTATGTTGCCATTTAAAAAAATCAAGTTTACACATCTTTTAAGTAATAAGGGATATGTTATAAAAAGTTAGTATAAGGTGATAAATCAAGAATTATATGTTACTAAAGGAATTCTAATATAATTTTTCCAGTTTTGTATTTATATTTCGAATAATCGAGTGATTTTCAATAAACCGTTTGGGTAAATCTCTGTATAGTGTGAATATATAGTGGTGCGACAAATGAGTTATAAATACACACCAGTACAAGATATACTCGCTACATACCTACTCTATGTATTAAAATACTTATAATTCAATAAGAGCTTATTCTAAATTTGTTACCGACTCATAGACATTTTTCGTATGAAAAGATCTCAAAAAATGGCTGTTTTAAAAATATTGACAAAAATAAACAAAATTTTCAATTTTTTTTTTTATTAAAAAAAAATAATAAAAAATATACTTTTAACGTTGTCCAAAACTGTAAGAATTATTTGTAAAAAATTAAGTAATGCGCAATATTTACTGGACTAAAAGTTATTAAAGAAGTCAAAACCTGATGGGACATCCATATTTGAATACATTGTTATGAAGAAACATATGATTTCATGTCTGCATAAAACAGTATTTGAATTATTTTTTTCATCTCTCTTTTAGGCAATAACACAACATCTATTATATTTTGCTCAATTATTTTTTTTTTAGGAGGGATTATTTTGAAATATGAATAATTGTATAATTAATTCAACTAAGACATATTACGAATATTAATTTATTATTTTCGAGGCTACTTAACAGAAATATTCGACCTCTATTTGGAAACTTATGACGCTTTTAAAAATTTATCAACTAACTAAATAAAAAAATAAAACTTCAATTATGTTAAGCGTAAAGTGTTTTAGACATTTAGACAACGCTCCATAATCATTATAAATAGAAAATAATTTTTATACTTTTAAGATTAACAGGTAAGAAAATAATATCAGTAATAATAGCTTGGAATTTACTTTAGCAGTGAACAAAAGTATATTAGTGATGTGTCTTCCTGAACTTTGTGAACATAACTAGGATTACCGGAGAATTTATCAAATTTATTCTTAGTAGTTCTATTAAAATTGAATAATTTTTTAATCATAATGATATATTATTTTATTTCTTAATTTTTTTATTTCCACCTGTACCTTATAATGTGCAAAAAACGTTCTGTTCAGCATCATGTTATGGTTTGTACATCGACACTTACTCATAATACATTTAAGTAAAAATACAGTGATACGATTAAGCTCTTCACACATTTAAAGTATGTTTGTGTTTTCAGATTTTCTTACGTTGGTCTATTAAGTTAATTGTGTACACGTCAAAAGAGCATCATCAAAACAAATTCAATGGCAAATATTTAATTACACTTAATAAAAAATTAAAACATTAGTATATGACCAATATAACCATAGACAAAAATAAATGTTCTGTCAATAAATTGTAAAATTATTATTTTAAAAAATATGCAAATTTTGTGATAAAATTACTTTTGTGTCTATATAACTTTTTACATTAGAATAATTCTGATACAAGATAATTTTTACGTGAATTTCAAAATTAACAATACCCTCTATTAATTTTGTATCATTCTTTTCTTTATTTATTTATTTTTTTTTTTTTGAAAATATATTTTTGTAACTTTTTTTGAAAACAGATAAATTAATTAAAAAAAAATATTTAAATTTAAAACTTTTAATACAAGTGTTTAATACAAATCAAAATTGTTGAAGTCCAAGAACAATCTTTATAATGAAAGCGACTAGTTATCTTCTAAGAAACATGTTTAGATGTTAAACATTATTCTCTAAATCAGTGACAGCGTAACCTTTTTTGAGGCACTTGGCAAAATAAATACAACTTATTCGGGGCCTTCAGTCATATATATTTTTTTAAAACTTATTCTATGATTATTTTATATTTTTTTATTTTAACTACAAAAACAATTTTCTGTATCACATTACTCAGTAGAAACATTTGAGGTACTCATAAGTTAATTAAAAATATAAAGAGTCCCAATAGTCAATGACCTAAAACATATCAGATCTTAATATTTGTGAAACACATTAGGCATTACAGAAATATCCATGAATATGGATCATATAGAAAGTTCTTTTAAAGATACTGATTTTAGCTCTTTAACATAATTAATTTTTTTTTCAAGAAAAACCTTGAACATTACTATATTGATACTAACATTTACACCTGAGAAAAGTCACGTAAACGATCATACAAATGGGAAAAATCATTAGTATTTTTTTAGATAGAAATAATTATTTCTAAAGTAACATTAAGCATTTCGAAGGTCGATGGAATCGTATACTGTTATATTGTTATAATTGCTTTCCCCACAAAAACATAATTTAGGTCTTAGGAAGTGAAAATTCAGCTCAAGAAGTTATTATTCAATCGTAATTGTGTTATAATACATTTTAGACATTTGAGAAATATTATTAAGATTAAACAATACATTTTTTCAGTGAAATTTAGCAATAATTTTTATTTACTATATTGTTAAATAATTATTGTTTTTGAAAATTATTAGTTTAATAAATTAAAAATTTCAATAATTTAACATTTTACAATTTTTTTTAACTATAAATTCAATTTTTTTCATAACTTTTTTTTAGTTTCTTTCTTTAATCTTCTTTATTTATTTGACGTAACGTAGCACTAGGAGAGGATTCAAAGGTTTAACTTCCTCCGAAATTTTAAAAAATAATATTCATAATGATATAAAATATTTTTATGGTTGTATAAAAATTCATTGAGCACTATTAAAAATGTGGTTTTAATTGAGAACACGACAAGCACATTTTTTATGGGAAGGAAAAGAAATACTTTGAATTAACTATTATTAAAAATATTATTAATTAACTAAAATACATTTACTTTTATTCTAAAATTAATATTTTTAATATATATAAATTTCAATATTTTTTTAACTTTATTTCTTAAAACTACTAAAATTAAAAAAATTAACGTATCAAAATAACTTTTTTATAAATAAACACTTTAGATATTACTTACTATAAAATTTATGATAATTGGTGACCCCATTACTGTAGCCTCCTCTTTTTAAA